CAGCGGGCGCCCGATCCCGGGATCAGGACTCCCCCGAGAGGCCAGCCTCACCCCTCAGGCCTCCAGCGGCCGGACGAAAAGGTCGGCTCTGGCCGTGGGGTCGACAGTGAGGTCCACGTCCCGCGGCCAGGGGACGGAGGGGTCCCGAGGACTCGGCCCTTCGCCCATGATGCCCCCCCCCCCCCAGCCGCCACGGGAATTGAGGCGTGGATCCAGGCCCACTCGGGTCACTGTGGAGGGCAGCCCGGAGCCGCAGCACAGACGCCAAAGCGGCCCCGTGCCCGGTGCAGGCGCCCCCTCTGGACAGCTCCCAAGGGACGGGAGGAAGCCCAGCGAGGGGGGAACACACCCACGCGTGTGCCCGGGCTCCCGGGGACCCGTGCCCGTCACGGCCTAGCGGGCTCAGGCCAGCACACGCCGGACGCTGCTGCTCTTTGCCCCTTCTTGCCCATCAATCGGCCCAGATCCTACGGAGAACACCTCAGGGCCCTATCACGGGCGCACCCTGACAACCCGCCTCTTGTGCCAGGGCCCCAGTAGAAGCCAGAAGAACCACATACGCCCCCGCCACCCCCCCACCCTCCCCCACACACGGTCACACGGTCTCTCACTCACGGCCGCTCACGCTCATTCACGTGAACACACATATTCCAGGCAGATACACTCACTCTCCCCGCACCACCACCCCCCCAAAACCCAAACACTGGGAGACCACACTTGGAGGTCACCCTTCTCAAAACCTCAGGAGGTGGCCCACACACCCCACAGCAAGCACCCGAATGGGTGGATGACAGGTGTCCGTTTCGACCCCGATTCCGTCCCCAAGGGTGTAACGGTGCTCCCGTCACGCACGGGGAACCCTCTCCACGCTCCCGAATGGCTCGAGGCTCCTCCAACGTCAACCCTCGGGGAACAGGTGTGCTTTCTGCCCTCTGGCAAACGGGAGAGGCCGCTTCTCCCAAGAGGCCCACGACCTCATGCTTCCTAGGGCAGGGAGGGATGTCCCGGTCCCATCTGTGGCATGCAACTCCACCCCCACCCCCCAACACCTCCAGAGGGTCCCTCTGGTGGCGCTTCCCACGTTTCAGTTCTACGAAGCCTGGCTGAACGACGCCCCACTGGACACAAATCCCATTCACGACCCGAGAGCTGGGGCCGGCGGCAGACCAGACTGAGCAAGAAGACGCTGGGGGGTGGGTGGGAGTGGGGGTGGGGGGGTGGGGGGCGGGGGGCGTGATCTTTAAACCTGGAGCCAAGAGGCCCCGCAAAGGGACACGTTTCCCCCAAGACAGGCCCGCACGGGCAAAGTCCGAAGCACGGGTCCAGGCAACTCTTGTCGGGCCGTCCGCCTCCCGGGCCCACGGGAAGGGAGCTAGAAGCGGCGGGTGGTCGGCCTGAGGGTGAGGGTGACTTGCCTCCACTGCCGGTCTCGGGTCGCCTTCGCGCCGCCCCCCCCCCCCCCCCCCCCCGCCGCCTTCACTTAGCCTCTCCTGACCCCTGCAAGGAAGGCCCGGGCCTGACTCAGCTCCAAAGGGCCATCGCGGACGCCCTCGACTGCCCGGGCCTCCAAGCCACCCCCCCCACCCCCCCACCGAGTGTCCGTTCCCCGAGGCCTACCGGCCTCCCTGGGGCTTCCCTTCTGACCACGAAGCCCAGGTCCGAACACCCTCCACAAGCAGGCGGTCCTCCACCGAGGACCCCGAAGGGGGCGCGCGCCGCCCTGGCAAGGAAGGGTCCGGCTCCCACACAAGTCGACCGCCCCGACGGTCGATGGCGGGGCACGGGGCCGCGCCAAGGGAGGGTCACGCGGGCGTCCCCTAGCTCGGTGGTGCCGGGCTGGGCTTCGCGCCCGGCTCGCCAATCAGAGTCCGGGCACGGGCCCCACGGCACCCCAGGGCGGGACCGGTGACAGAGGCTGCGGGGGTACCCTGCCCGGGGACCGCTCGGCCCTGCAGGACCTCTCATCCCGCAGAGTCAGCGCAACGCCGCCCACCTTGCCCACCCCGCTTGTCAAGCAAGACTAGGCCAGCGAAGTCCTCCCTGCTCCTCGGTCTCGGTCTCGGGGCCAGGGAGACCCGGTTCCTCGCCCCTGGGCAGGTGCCCGAGCTCCGCGGGTGCCGCTGAGGGCGCCGGGACCCAAAGGGCGCCTGGACACCGCCTGGATCTCAGGCGTGGGGGGGGGGGGGGATCGGAGGGAGACCGGGGACAGGAGATGCAGCCCGCCTCCTCGGTGCCCCGGGGCCAGGTTTGACCAAGGAAGGGGACAGCGTGCACAGCCCCTCGTGCCACCCCCGTCCCCCACAAACTAAGGGGCCTTCCGGGAAGCTGACGTGTGTGAGGGGAAGGGGCAACACGCTCACGCTGCCTTTGGCACGCGGCGGCGGCGCGGGGAGTCACCCGCGGACGCTCGGGGGCTGCTCGTGGACGCGTGTGGACGGGAAGGCACGACCCATCCCGGACCTTCTTCCACCCGTGTGTGGGCCACCGGGACAGCCGGGGCCTCCACGGAGGTCGGTCCGCGTGATCCAGAGCCAGAGCGGGAGCCTCCTTCGGGGCACTGGACTGGCAGATGCGTGCCTGACTATTGACTGGCCCACGGGGGCAAACGGAGCTGGGCCCCCCAGCCCAGGGGACGGGGCTCCGATCCCGGGAGCCTCAGAAGCGGGGGTGCTTGCTTGCTCGCCCGCGGGCCCGTTGGCCCGCGGCCGAACCCGCCACCCGCCACCCGCCACCCCTCCACCCTCACCCCGAGGGGCCCGGCCCTTGACACGAGCGCCGCCATGTTGGGGCGAGGGACAGCGGACACTGGCTTGGCTGCCGAGTTCTCTGGCGTGGCCTTTTTTTCTTCTGGCAGAGGGCGGAGGGAGAGGCCCTGGGGGAAGGGCCGGCTGGCATTCGCGGTGCAATACTGCCATCAAGCGGAAACTTCTCGAGGGGATCCGGGAGCCCGGCGCCGTGCTCTCTGTCCCGCGTGGAGGGGCCCCGGGAGTGACGTGGAGGGAGTCCAGTCCGGGGGCCTGGGGGCCTGGCCGGTCGGGCCCGGGAAGCCCCAAGCCACGTCTGGGCGGGACTGGAGCGGGGTGACTCAGACACCCGGGCCGGGCCAGGGGGTGCCGGGCCTGTGGCCGCGTGCCCCCTGCAGCCCCGCCAGGACGCGCACGGGAACCTGGAGGACTGCCGCCACTGCTGGTGCGGACGGAGGCGGGGACCCTGATGTCCCCGTGTCCGGATCCCGGGAAGGGGAACGGGTGTGGAGCCGGGCCACCCGGTGTCAAGGGGGGGGGGGGGGGGCCTTGAGCCTGAGGCGCGGTCTTGGGAGGCGGCGGCGGAGGGGTAGGGGCGGGGGAGGAGGTGGTGGCGGAGCTCCCCAGGAGGAGCAGAGAGTCCGGGACGGACGGGCCCCGATGGGAGCCGGAGCAGCAGCAGCACCAGCGGGCGGCCTCCTCCTCCTCCTCCTCCTCCTCCTCCTCCTCCTCCTCCTCCTCCTCCTCCTCCTCCTCCTCCTCAGCCGCCACCGCCGCCGCCGCCTGCCCCCGCGCCCCCCGCCCAAAACCCGGCCTGGGCCCACCAAGAGGCTGTTGCCTGACACGGGTACCGGGAAGCGGCACTGCCACGTCCCGCGGCTTTCCCTTCTCTGGCGGAGGCCTGGTCCCAGTGCCCCCATTTCCCTCAGCCAAGTCCAGGCCAAGCTGCCGCCGCTCCCGCCCGCTCCCGCCGGCTCCCGCCACCATCGCCACCACCACCACCACCACCGCCACCCCCGCCACGTCCCGTCCCGGGCCGGGCCAGGCCTCTGAGCTCGCCCCGTTTCCCTTTCTGGGCCACCTTCTCCAACGTCCCACCACAGCCCTCAGGGCAACGACAGTCAAGGAACGGCTGCCTGACTCCTGCCTCTGCGTCCCAATGCCAACGCTCGCTCCAGAGCTGGTCGTCAACGGACCAGCGTGGAGCGCCTGCCAAAAGGGCCAGGCGCCTGGCGATCGCCAACGGCCCCTTCTGACTTCACCCAGGGCCCAGTCGTCCCCCGGAAGCCACCGGGCGGCGGCTCAGGGGATCGCCAACGCATTCCGCTTGATGGCAGTGTTGCACCAGCAATGCCAACCGGCCCTTCCCCCAGGGCCTCTCCCTCCGCCCTTTGCCGAAGAAAAAAGGCCAAGCGCTGGCCACCCGGGCTCCAACATGGCGGGCTCCAACATGGCGGCTCCCGAGTCTGGGCTGCTTTCGCTTTAGGGGTACACTTGTCTACTATTAGCAGAGTTGAGCTGTTCCTCCTTCCCTCTTGTAACTGTGAGCCTACTTCGCATTTGGAGTGTATGGTATGTTGTGGAATAACATGGAAGCTTATTAACCTGCTCTGTTTGGTTAATACTGACTGATGGTTATAGGACACATCAGGAGATATACTGGTGTGATCTTGAGCTTTGAGCCACAGTTACCCCAAGCTGATAATTTACCTTTCAGGCACATTCCACTAGGGCTCCCTAATTCAGGTGCCTTTGACCAGGGTGGTTACATGGTGACTTGTGGAAAAGAGATCGTTTTCTGCAAATCCATGGGCTGTGTTTATTTGTCAATCATAAGTTGCGCATATGTCACTAGCGGATGGAAGGTTTCAAAGTTTATGTGTCTGTGTCCCAGGTATTTCTCTAGGATTCAGGAGTCAATGGTGGCACGTATATTTTAGCATGGATCCCTCCGTATGCTGCTTGTGAGATGGCAATCCACCTCATCCTTGCCCTACGTTAATCTTTGATTGTCTGTAGATTCGCATGCAAGCATCTCCTTTTTTCCTGTTCCACAATCATGAACTGCTTTGAGAGCCTTTTCTACCACAGGTGAAATTCTGGTACAGTACACAAGAGTCCTGGTGTTAGGAATCTGCCTAGGGATTCTTTCCTTCTTGAACTTTGCTGAAATAATACCACAATCTGTGTTCTTCCTACAGTAAAATAAACTCTCTTGTTAAAGGAAAAAGAAGAAAATAAAGAGCACTCACTCACCCAGAACATCAGCACTGGCCTCTTCATTTTCACTTCTTTCTTTCCTTTCATTCTGTCTCCCCTGCAGTGAGAGAGAGAGAGCTTGGTATGGGACCATCATAGTGCTGCATAAGAGGGTTTTGTATGCATCCCACTTAGGCCACCTTGAGTGTTTCAGGTCAGTATTCCTTTTTTTTTTTTTTAGTTTATTTTTTTTAACAAATTTATTTTTTTATTGGTGTTCAATGAACCAACATACAAAATAACACCCAGTGCTCATCCCATCAAGTGCCCCACTCAGTGCCCGTCACCCATTCACCCCCACCCCCGCCCTCCTCCCCTTCCACCACCCCTAGTTCAGGTCAGTATTCCTAACACCTCTGGGGTCAACCAAAACTTCTGAATACAGCATGATGTGCACATCAACTTCACTCATCCTTCAAAAATTCCAAGGATTTTCATTCAGGGGTTTCAGAAAGCAGCTCATGTAGAATGTACCAGGTGAAACCTGAAGATATCTCCCATGATCTCTTTTCTGAGCCACAGCCATCACCTTGGCATTTATACTCATAGCTTTCCCCCTCAGTTCTGGCCCTGAATGACCATGGAAGGATATCAATAGGTATCTTGTCAGGCCTGCAACCTTCTCTGGAATTGAGCGACAGACCCTCTACTAAGAAGCAGCTCATCTGACTCAAGGAGGTACCAGGTATCTCCTCTCTGGCTGCACTGAGATATTCACCACATTTACTTTCCTGGGATGTGGACATTTTCTTTTTCTTTTTTTTTTTTTTGACATTTTCTTTTAAAGATGTGGCAAGTTATGATTTACCAGCCTCTTTCTTCTGCATAGACACTGACACAAAAGTATGTATCCTGGTCACACGCACCCATATTTCAGTAACCATGACTCAGTATGCTGGTTGAAGACGGAAGTAGAGAGGAAGAAAAGAGAAACCCACTGTCTGAAGAGAAGGGACAAGTAAAATGACCTATGTTCTAAGCCCCTTGGCAGAGATGAAGGTACCCTACACTGGGTAGCTATGAGAAAAGAAATGGAGAGGATCAAGCAGGTCAGGACATTTACTCTGCACAGATGTGCCAAAACCAGGATACTTATATATGCTGGGAGTAGCCAAATGTGAAAGAGTGTATGGAGTATTATGCAGGATGTGTGGGGTCAGAGAACGGAATGTAGCATGCCCTCTGTGTCTGTTAGTTTTCATTTGCATGCAATCCCTGCAGCATACATGAGGAAAAATTTCATGTGGTTGCCACCGCAGGTAGGGAGTTCAAAGGCAGAGACACCCCTTGGGAGCCGTCACCATGCAATGCTAAGGGTTTTTCTCTGATTGGGCAAAATTTCTATCCAATGTGGCATCTCCAAAGCAGTTATGGGGGGGAAAAAAGAGGGGAAATTTATATATATATATATATATATATATATATATATATACACACATATGTGACACATAAACATATCTGTGTGTCTATTATTAATGAAAAAGTGAATGCTGAATGATTGAGTGGGTCTTTTAAGGACAGACTATAAAGACACTCTCAAAGACAACTTCCCAGGAGGGGCTGCTGAACAATGGTCCTCACTCAGGTCATCTGACTGTGTGGATGAAGCCACTGGGCTCTCCATCTGTCCTACGGACTCCACCACTCTTACCCCCAATCCCCACAACTCACCTGGGGCACTCTGTGGTAGAGTGACTGAGGCTCCCGGAGGTGAGCATGGGCAATCTACCTCCCTGTCTTCTTACATAACAGAGCCCCTGTCACTTCCTCCACAATGGCCTACTCTTGAGCCCTTAAGCTAGATGAAGTAGCTGGGTAAATGCAAAAAGGAGCCAATAACTCAAGGAGAAGACATGAAATCCAGGTCCTGGTGTCAGCTATTGTTATGGAATCAATGTCCTCAGAAAGCAAGGATTCTGCCCTAGAACCATATGGGTATCCATACAAAAGTGTGCCAAGAAAAGAGGGTCCCAGTTGCCAGGATATCCACATTTAAAACTCTTAAGAGAGATGTGGGATGAATCCACAGATGTATGTATTATTTCAGATGTTACTATAGGTATATTCTCATTGCCATCAAGAAGTCCAAATATATGAGATACCACTTCCCACAACACCACAGGACAGTCAACCCCATTTGGGGGCTTCAGTGTCCTCAGGCACCTTTTTTGATCCTCAAAGGGCAGAGGCAGAAACCTCACAAACAAGCAGGGATGGCATTTCTGGAGCAACAGTTCCATCAAGCAGATACTTTTTAAGCAAAGCCTGCAGCACCTTCGGGTCTTCTGAGGAAGGTTTGTGAGGGGATGAAGGGTGGGAGTGGGGCACCCACAAGATTCTCTGGGCCAGACCCAAAACACACCCAGGATCAGTGGAGAATTAACACAGGGTGGATAGAGACAGACTCAGCCATCAAGTAGGGGATGCAGGCCTCCCCAGGCAGTGGGGGCGTGGCCTTGGCTGCTGCCTTGTTAAAAAACAAAGAGCTGAAGTTCCAATTCCAGGGAATCTGGCCTGTGGATCCTTGCCCTTGGTGCAATAACAAGCTCAGCCAGTGAGGCCCCTAGGGTTTCAGGGCCCTGGGGAACCCAGGACCAGAAGCTCCAGGGTCAACTGCCATCCCTCAATGGGGGTAGCATCTTGCAGACAGGATGGAAAATTTCCTGATTATTTGGTACTAGACCCAGACAAGGAAGAGTAAGGCAGGTACACTGCAGGTTTGAGTTAGAGCTGTGTTTTGATTACTTTGGCTCCCTCTACAAAGAGAATCTGGGTCTTAGGCCCCAAAGTATCCCAGAAAGCCCTCCTTGTCCCATATGAGAAAGGTTGTAGGTATGGGATAGAACAGAACAGGATCAGTATACTGAAAGGAACATCGTCCTCCAGAATGAAGGGATCCAGGTCTGTTTTCTGCACTACTTGTTGAAAACGTCACAGCTCAAATGCAACCTATTCCTCAACCTCCCTTTCAGTGTATGGGCATATGACCTGAGTCCTCTTGTTTGGGGACTCTCCTGGGATTTCTTGTAAGGGTCCATGTTCTATACATGGCCAGAGGGGTGCACTGAGACCATCCTGGTCTAGGAACCAGTCAAACCATGTCAGTCAGAACCCGGCACTGGGAACTAAGCAAAAGATTGTTCAACACCAATAGGCTATGCTTATATAAGGCCAGAAGTATAAAATGAAGGGGCAGGGAGTGGGTTTCCACACTCTTCCAGGAGGGGTGAAATCAAGGAGCGTGTGTGGAGGGAAGAGTTGAACATGGAAACCTGCTCGTAAAAGCTAGGCAAAGAGCATGAGCTACCCCAGAGGTTCTTCTGGAAGCAGACTATCACAACAGCTGAAGTCTAAAATGAATTGCTGTGTTCCCAGCAGTATGTGCCTTGTTCCTATCTTAGAGAGACATGCTTGATCTGTGGAGGATATGGGTGGAGGGCGGTGTCTCTCAACCCAAGAGCTATGTGGTATTCTAAAGACACCTGTCCTTGTATCTGGCCTATATTCATTTTGGCTAGGGTATATCCAGCCAAATCATGTTTCCTTTTTTTTTGGGGGGGGGGGTTCTCTTGGTCTACAAATTAATGTATTGCTCCAGAGGCCTGATGCGACTGAAGGCTGTTAGAAATCTTTTAAATCAATTGAGAAAATCAAGCAAAATTTTAAAGAGCCTCTACTGCATGCCATAGACCCCCAAAGAAAGGCAAGTCACAATCTTAGGTTATCCTTTTCATCCTCAAAACACTGTCCCATGCAGGATAGCAAACAACGGTTTAGGTGGAAGGTAAGATGTCTATTTTTATGTCAATCTACACGTGCACTGACATAGAGGTTTACCCGTCTCCACCCAGGTATTTTGTTCTGGTTTTATATTAAAGGAGACTCACCAAACTTTGACCCTGCAGGAACCTTTCTGCTTTTCTCCCCTCAAGAGAGAACACACTTCTCCCAAGTGTTCAGGTCCACAAGGACCACATTCTCATTCTTTTTATGGTAGGCAGTGTATATTCCCTCTCATGGCTGAATAACAGGACATCCCACTCTACCTCCAGAGGGTCCTTTTGGTCCCTTTCTACTTCTCAATTCTACAAATCCTGGGTGAAAGACACTCTCTTGGATGCACTCCTCTGCTCATTTATATGTGAATGTAATTCTCCCCTATTTTCAGAGAAGCAACAGAATGAACCAAAATTCTCATATACTTTCATTTTTTGATCAATGTTGCCAAATGGTTTTCCAAGAGGAGTACCTAAAATGCATCCTGCCCAGTATTAGATGTTCCAATTCCAACAGAACTGACTAGTCGTCTTCACTGAGGTCAATATAAAAGGTAAGAGGGATCCCTGGGTGGCGCAGCGGTTTAGCGCCTGCCTTTGGCCCAGGGCACGATCCTGGAGACCCGGGATCGAATCCCACGTCGGGCTCCCGGTGCATGGAGCCTGCTTCTCCCTCTGCCTGTGTCTCTGCCTCTCTCTCTCTCTCTCTCTCTCTCTCTCTCTGTGTGTGTGTGACTATCATAAATAAATAAAAATTAAAAAAAATTTAAAAAAAATATAAAAGGTAAGAGGTATATCCTGATGAATATGCAAATACCTGCCTCCACTCCATGTGTTTCCTTCTATCTCCTTGACTAAAGTAGGTTTACACTGATATGGAGTCTAAGGCTTCATGGACGCTTGGGCATCAACCAGTTTTGGAAAGCCCCCTTTCATGCCATGCTTTGAACTAGATTCTCCAATTTTCAGATATTTTACTTTGGCTCTCATCAGCAAATAAGGGCCTACGTACATTCAAAGCACAAATAGGAACAATGGAAGATCCTAAAGAACATGACTAAGCATTGTGTATTCCCTATGTTTGAAGGGAACCACTGTATGCCATATTTAACTAGGCCTTGAAAAGAAAAGCAATGCAATATTTAGAACTGTTTTATTCTGATCCTCTTAAATTCTGGTTTATGGGGGTACCTGGGTGGTTCAGTGGGTTAAGCACCTGCCTTTGGCTCAGGTCATGATCTGGGATGGAGCCCTGCATCTGGGCTGTTCAGTGGGGAGTCTGCTTCTCTCTCTCCCTCTGCCCCTTCCCCTGCTCATTCTCTCTCTCTCTCTCATTCTCTTATTATAAACAAACAAACAAATAAATAAATTCTTTTTAAAAACCTGATTTATAGGCTCCACAGTACTCTAAACTTAGCCTATCTTGTTAGGTACACTAGGGTGTCAATACCCTTTTCAAATTAATCAATTGAGAGCTATATCATCTTCTGGAATCACTGGATTAATGTCTGTTGCCCATGCTTCTTATCTGCAATGGTCTAGCCAGGCTGTGCTCCTTGGCTTCCAGTAAGATTACCAAGATCCTCTTGTTTGGAAATATACTTGAGACCTCAAGTAAGAGGTTCACTCTATCTTCAAGTCAGCATGAACCCTTGTCAAAAGGGTACACTGAGATCACCATGCTCACAGTACTGGGGTAGAGACCACATGAGACTGTTTGTTTGGGTCTTGGCCTGTGCTCAGCAAATAAGGTCTCAGTCAGCATCTTCCCCACATAACATTAACTTCCAAAATCTTTGGATTTTCAGCAAATGTGTTAAAGGAGAAATCCAAAGGTTTTAGCACCTTCCAATGAGATACTAAAAAAAAGCAGTAACATTTGAATTCTGTTTGCAACACTACACTTAAGAGAGAAAACAAAATATTTCAGAGAATTGATTTGTAACTTTTCACACAACTTTTACCCCCCCCCCAGTGCTGGAAAAACCAAAACTCAGAAGCTATGCTTTAAATTTTTTTCACCTTTCCTAGAGATGGTAAGAACAAATATGGAAAATATTTATAACCTTCACTGAGGTTAACAAAATTCTTAACAATCAAGGACCTTACCAATTTTTTTTCAGCCTGATTCCATGGACAAATATTCCATTACTAAAGAGATTTATATTACCAACAATTAAAGATCATATACCTAGGAATAATCTAACAAAAATATGAAAAACTTACATGAGATAAACTTTAAAGTGTCCTGAAAGACAGAAAAACACACTTAAGAGTAAAAATGTATTATATTCTTGAATAAAAAGATTCAACCTCTTAAGTATGTTCATCATCAGTTAATTTTTTTTTTTAATTTTTTTTTTAACTTTTTTATTTATTTATGATAGTCACAGAGAGAGAGAGAGAGAGAGAGAGGCAGAGACACAGGCAGAGGGAGAAGCAGGCTCCATGCACCGGGAGCCCGACGTGGGATTCGATCCCGGGTCTCCAGGATCGCGCCCTGGGCCAAAGGCAGGCGCCAAACCGCTGCGCCACCCAGGGATCCCCATCATCAGTTAATTAATCTATTCTAATCCCAAGAAAAATCCAAAAGGCTTTAGAAGGTCCTGTTGTTTTCCATTATTCATAAGGGACAACAAAATAAACAGGCAGGAATATCAGGAGAGTTCTGATAATGAATAGCCATGTGGTGGGATGACTAGCTCTACCATATATAGAACAAAAAGGCCAAGAATAGACACCAAAATGGGCTACTTTCTTACACCATACACAAAAATAAACTCAAAATGGATTAAAGACCTAAATGTAAGAACTGAAACCAAAACTCCTAAAACACACATACACAGAGGCAGTAAACTCTTAAGTCATCAGCCCAGGCAATATTTTTCTGGATATGTATCCCAAGGCAAGGGCAACAAAAGCAAAAATAAACAATTGGCAGAATGGCAAACTAAAAAACTTTTGCACAGCAAAGGAGACCATCAAAAAAATGAGAAAGCACCCTACTGAACGGGAGAAGATATTTGCTAATCATATATTCAATAACAGGTTAATACTCAAAATATATTAAAAAAACTCCTACAACTCAGTAACAAAAAATAATCCCATTAAAAAATGGCCAGAGGACCCAAACAACTATTTTTCCAAAGACATACAGACGGCCAACAGACGTATGAAAAGATAACTGACATCACCTAACATCAGAGAAATGCAAATTAAAACTACAGTGAGATATATCACCTCACACCAGTTGGACTGGCCAGTATCAAAAAGACAAGAAATAACAAGTGTTTGTGAGGATGTGGAAAAAGGGGAACTCGTGCACTACTGACGGGAATGTAAACTGGTGCAGCCACTATGGAAAACAAGGAGATACCTCCAAAAATTGTAAGTAGAAATACCATACAATCCAATAATTCTACTATTGAGTACCTGAAGAAAACAAAAACACTAATTCAGAAAAAAACATATGCACCCTATGTTTACTGCAGCTTTACCTACAATATCCAAGATATGGAAGCATCCATATGGAAATGCCACTGATAGATCAACGGATAAAAATGTGGTACATATGTACACGATGGAGTATTACTCAGCCATTAAAAATGAAATCTTGCCGTTTGCAGCAACATGAATGGACTTAGACAGTATTAACTAAGTGAAGTCAGAGGAAGATGAATACCATGATTTCACTTACATGTGGAATCTAAAAAAACAAAGCAAACAAGACAAAAAACAGAAATATTCTCAGAAATACAGATAACAAACATATTGCTGCCAGAATGGAGGAGGGTGAGGTGATGGGTAAAATAGGTGAAGAGAATTAACAAGTACAAATTTATAGTTATAAAATAAGTAAGTTATGAGAATGAAAAGTAGAGCATAGGGTATATAGTCAATAATACTGTAGTACAGATGGCAACTACACTTATTGTGGTGAGCATGTCATAATGTTATGTAATTGAATCACTATGTTACACAGCTGAAGCTATTTTTTTAAAGATAATTTATTTTTAGTAATTTCTACACCCAGTGTAGGGCTCAACTCACAACTCCAAGATCAAGAGTCACATGCTCTTCTGACTGAGCCAACCAAGGTATTCCCACCTGAAACTAACTTAATACTGTATGTCAAAGACACTTCAATTAAAAAAAAAAAAAAGAATAGACCCAAAGGCATAAAAGAATTTAGCATAGGGGGTGCCTGGGTGGCTCAGCTAGTTAAGCATTTGACTTCAGCTTAAGGTCATGATCTCAGGGCCTAGGATCAAGCCTGCATTGGACTCCACACTAGGCTGGGAGGCTGCTGCTTGTCCCTTTCCAACCACCCCCCTCCCGCCCCCACACTTGTGCCCTCTCTCTCTCAAATAAATAAAACCTTGGGAAAAAAGGGGATTTAGCATACAAAAGCCTCCTAGATCAGTGGAAGTAAAGACAGATTTGGGGCCAAAGAGTACCTACCTAGAAAAGGTTCTTGGGGGACGCCTGGGAGGCTCAGCCGTTTCAGCATCTGCCTTTGGTTCAGGGTGTGATCCCGTGGTCCCAGGATTGAATCCCACGTCGGGCTCCCTGCATGGAGCCTGCTTCTTCTCCCTCTGCCTATGTGTCTTTGCTTCTCTCTGTGTCAGTCATGAATAAATAAACAAAATCTTTAAAAAAAAAAAAAGGTTCTTGGTTCTACACACAATAAGCCAGGATAAACTCTACATGGATCCAAGAATTGAATGTGCAATGAAGAGAATCATATAACTATTAAAAGAAAGCATGGGCTGATTCTGTTGTAACTGTACAGTAGGAAAAACCTTTCTACCTTTCACTCAAAACCCATCAAACAGGATACATATGAACAGATAAAATTCACCATATTAAAACAAAAACTCATAAAGTCAGAAGAGCAATGATAAATAGGAAAAAATACTTCCAACTCACAGTAGGCTTACTAAAACAGAGGAAGCTTTAGAAATAATTTCAGTACCACCCAGAGTAAAATATTAACAGTCCACAGAGAAACACAAAACTACCCTAAATATACAAAAAGGTTCCTTACCAACTCAAGGAAAATCCAAACAAAAATTGCACTGTTAGACAATTTCTTACACATCAAGAGTTTCTACTCGTGACCTGCCCCTCTGAGGGGCTTGTATTACCAGTTTATTGTATTAACTTTTTATGTATTAACTATATTCTTGACCCTGTGTTGAATCTGGCTCATCTTTTTTTTTTTTTTAAAGATTTATTTAGGGGTGCCTGCGTGGCTCGGTTAAGCATCTGCCTTTGGCTCACGTCATGATCTCAAGGTCCTGGAATCAAGCCTGCTACACTGGGCTCCCTGCTCAGTGGAGACCCTACTTCTCCCTCTCCCTCTGCTGCTCCCCCTGGCTTGTACTTGCTTGCTCTCTCTCTTAAATATATAAATATTTAAAAATAAAGTAATTGAAATAAATTTCAAAAGACTTATTTGAGAACACAAGCAGGAGGGGGAGAGGGAAAGAGAAGCTCAAGCAGACTCTGCACTGAGCATGGAGCCCAACATGGGGTTCAATCTGACCACAAGATCATGACCTCAGCTGAAACCAAGGGTTGGATGCTTAACTGATTGTGCGACTCAGGGGCTCCAAATCTGGCTCATCTTACATGGTCTCAAGTCATCACTTGTTATTTTCTTGCAAGGATTTGTCCTACACGTGCAGAGAGTCAAATGCCTTCTCACAGGATGATGTTTTTACACAAAGTGTGGAGCCAATCTCTTTGAATACTTAAAATGCGTGCCATCCCTTATGTGAAAGTCCCTAACTCTTAAATTTCAATTGCTATTTCATGCCATCAAATCTTCTTTGCAGAACTTATGTGAGGTGTTAAATTTTGGAAATAAGACCAAACATTTGCCTCAATATCAGTAATAAGAAACACAAGCACACACTATCATCCAGAAATATCCAACATAAATGTGTTTTCTTTCCTTCTAAACTTTTCTGTCTATATCTAATTGGTTCACTTCATACGTATTTTTTTTTTTTCCCCCGGGTGTCCCCTGCTTCTCAAAAGTTTGGGTTACACCATTTCACTTTTATGAAAGACCAACATCAGTACGGTAACAGCTTTCTTTGCAAAAGTAACAAATCTTGGATTTTCTTCAATTAGCAAAACCAGGTACTACTATTGTTCTTAAAAGGGATGTGGCCTAACAGTAACTGTCAAACTTTTGAAAGTGTGGGACCCTCTTAGCTTTATGCCATTTCAGCTTAAGATAGGTTTCACAGGAATTTCTTTAATTTCTGATAGGAAAAACCTGTATTGCCATTAGTCTTCATTACCTTTGATAACCTGAAATTGCTTAAGAAGCTTGTTTCTTTCAGATCCTCCTATTGCACAGAAAACTGTAAAAAGATGAAAATGTAAACCACCAGTAATCGTATTGCTTGAGGAAAGCCCCTGAAAATTTGGGGGCCTAGTTAAATGCATTTGTGGAAATAGCTATTATTTTAGGTCAAAAATTCATTACTAACATCTGTGCTGTTTGATAATCATCAACTTTTCCAAAAAATAGTGTTTAAAAATCATAACTTAGGGATGCCTGGGTGGCTCAGGGGTTGAGCATCTGCCTTTGGCTGAAGTCGTTGATCCCGGGGTCCTGGGATCGAGTCCCACATCCGGTTCACTGCAGGGAGCCTGCTTCTCCCTCTGCCTAGGTCTCTGCCTGCCTCTCTGTCTCATGAATAAATAAAATCCTTAAAAAAAGACATAACTTAAATTTCTATTTTGTCTTTAAAAAGAATAGAGATATGGTTAGAAAATGGTCTGAAAGAGCCTCCTCAAAATTCTACTCCCTTGGAGAAAACACAATCAACAGCATGGCTCTTCCACCTGCTTTATTTTTGTTCATGAATGGCCAATGAGATACGTGTATCTGGATAGGTATGTGACACATAAACACATGTGTATAAAGCAAACTTTGTCCTTAGTTCATTTCTATAAATATAATTATGTAACCTTTTTGTTTTTCAGATTTCACCAGGGTCTGAATAAGGTGTGACATCTGTCATAAATAAACATGGACAGAATGGATTTGTGGGAGTTCTGATACTACAGAGTAGGAATCATTTAATGAATGAAATACAGTAAGGTCATAGAACTAACAGAAAGCTATTAAAAGTTTTAAATATACAGGAATATAAGAGGCTGGATTCCGCTCAAAAATTACTAGAACTGATACAGGAATTCAGCAAGTCGCAGGATATAAAAATCAATGCACGGAAGTCAGTTGCATTTCTATACACTAACAATGAGGCAGAAGAAAGAGAAATCAAGGAATCTATCCCATTTACAATTGCACCAAAAACCAGAAGATACCTAGGAATAAACCTAACCAAAGACGTTAAAGATCTGTACTCTGAAAACTATAGCATACTTATGAAAGAAATCGGAGAAGACATAGAGAAATGGAAAAATATTCTATGCTCATGGATTCAAAGAACAAATATTGTTAAAATGTCTATGCTACCCAAAGCAACCTACACATTCAATGCAATCCTTATCAAAATACCATCAATGTTTTTCACAGAGCTGGAACAATCCTATAATCTATATGGAACCACAAAAGACCCCGAATAGCCAAAGGAATCTTAAGAAAGAAAATCATCAAGCTATATTACAAAGCTGTGATCATCAAGACAGTATGGTACTGGCCCCAAATCAGACACATTGATCAATGGAACAGAATAGAGAATCCAGAAATGGACCCTCAACTCTCTGGTCAACTAATCTGACAAAGCAGTAAAGACTATCCAATGGAAAAAGGACAATCCCTTCAACAACTGGTGTTGGAAAAATTGGACAGTCACATTCAGAAGAATGAAACTGGGCCAATTTCTTATGCCATACACAAAAATAAATTCAAAATGGATGAAAGACCTAAATGTGAGACAGGAATCCATCGAAATCCTGGAAGAGAACACAGGCAGAAACTTCTTTGACCTTGGCCTCAGCAACTTCTCACTAGACTCATTTTCTTTTTTTTTTTTTTTTATAAATTAATTTTTATTGGTGTTCAATTTACCAACATACAGAATAACACCCAGTGCTCATCCCGTCAAGTGTCCCCCTCCGTGCCCGTCACCCATTCACCCCCACCCCCCGCCCTCCTCCCCTTCCACCACCCCTAGTTCATTTCCCAGAGTTAGAAGTCTTTATGTTCTGTCTCCCTTTCTGATATTTCTCACACATTTCTTCTCCCTTCCCTTATATTCCCCTTCACTATTATTCATATTCCCCAAATGAATGAGAACATACACTGTTTGTCCTTCTCCGATTGACTTACTTCACTCAGCATAATACCTTCCAGTTCCATCCACGTTGAAGCAAATGGTGGGTATTTGTCGTTTCTAATGGCTGAGTAATATTCCATTGTATACATAAACCACATCTTCTTTATCCATTCATCTTTCGATGGGCACTGAGGCTCCTTCCACAGTTTGGCTATTGTGGACATGGCTGCTAGAAACATCGGGGTGCAGGTGCCCCGGCGTTTCATTGCATCTGAATCTTCGGGGTAAATCCCTAACAGTGCAATTGCTGGGTCGTAGGGCAGGTCTATTTTTAATTCTTTGAGGAACCTCCACACAGTTTTCCAGAGTGGCTGCACCAGTTCACATTCCCACCAACAGTGTAAGGCAAGGGAAACCAAAGCAAAAATGAACTACGGGGACTTCACCAAAATAAAAGCTTCCGCTCAGTGAAGAAATCAACAAAACTAAAAAGCAAACTACAGAATGGGAGAAGATATTTACAAATGTCTTATTAGATAAAGGGTTAGTATCCAAAATCTATAAAGAACTTATCAAACGCAACACTCCAAAACAAATAATCTAGTTAAGAAATGGGCAGAAAACACGAATAGACATTTTTCCAAAGAAAACATCCAGATTGTTAACAGACACATGAGAAGATGTTCAACATCATTCATCATCCAGAAATTACAAATCAGGTGCCTGGGTGGCTCAGATTAAGCATCTGCCTTTGGCTCAAGTCATGATCCCAGGGTCCTGGGATAGAGTGCTGCACAGGGCTCCCTGCTCAGCGGGGAGCCTGCTTCGCCCCCTGGGGCTCCCCCTGCTTGTGTTCTCTCGATCTCTGTCAAATAAATAAATAATTTTTTTTTATAAAAAAGGAAAATACAAAACAAAACTACAATGATACCACCTCCCATCTGTCAGAATGGCTAAAATTAACAAGACAGGGAACAACATATGTTGGAGAGGATGCAGAGAAAGGGGAACCTTCTTTAACTGTTGGTGGGAATGCAAACTGGTGCAGCCACTCTGGAAAACAGTATGGAGGTTCCCCAAGAAGTTAAAAATAGTGCTACCCTACAACCCAACAATTGCACTACCAGGTATTTACCCAAAGGATACAAACATAGTGATTCGAAGGGGCCCCTCACCCTAATGTTTATAGCAGCAATGCCCACAATAGGCAAACTGTGGAAAGAGCTCAGATGTCTTTTGACAGATGAATAAAGAAAATGGAATATTGCTCAGCCATCAAAAGGGATGAAATCTTGCCATCTGCAACATGGATGGGACTAGAGGGTACACTTAATAAATCAGAGGAGGACAAATACCATATAATTTCACTCATGTGGAATTTAAGAAACAAAACATATAAACATAGGGGAAGGGAAGGAAAAATAAAAGAAGACAAAAATAGGGAGACAAACCATAAGAGGATCTTAACTATAGTAAACTAAGGGTTGCTTGGAGGGGAGGTGAGTGGGGATCTAGGGTAACTGGGTGATGGGCATTAGGAGGGCATGAGATTGAATGAGTACTGGATGTTATATAGAACTCAAGAATCACTAAAATCACCTCTGAAACTAATAATACACTATGTCAGTGAAATTGAATTTAAATTAAAAGAGACTAGATTCTTTCACTTAGGTCATTTTACCTCTTCAAATTTAGCCCCCCTGCTAAGTTATACATCAGGAGGAGCACAAACTACTTGTGAAAATTAACCCTGGTCTCACCAAGTCCCATCATGGATGACATCTCCTCATATTCTCTTGCGACCTATTATGTGAACCTAATGGTTTTACTTAAACTATTTACTTTTTTTAATTTAAATTCAATTAACACACAGTATATTTTTAGTTTCAAAAGTAGAGGTCAGTGATTCATCAGTACCACGTAATACCCAGTGCTTGTTACCTCACCCAATTATCCCATCCCCCTTCGCTCCAGCAACCCTCAGTTTGTTTCCTATGACTATACTATATGTTGGCAAATCGAACTCCAATAAAAAAATTTAAAAAAAAACAAGAGTCTCTTATAGTTTGTCTCCCTCCCTGATTTAAACAACTTACAGGACGCAATAGTTTCCCAGGCCAGTCACTGGCACCGGGTTTCTCGCAAGATTTTCAGGAAAGTTTGTCAGAAATGAGTAGAGAGGATTGAGTCCAACACGGCCAACAAGGACATCTATTCGTCTCTCATTCCCTAGAAGCAGCATGTTTCTTAATACGATTTTTATGTTTTTTTTTTTTTTAATCAGAGTTCGACTTGCCAACATAGAGTATAACACGAGAAGTTACTTCTCTCAAGATACGTTCCGAGGAGCCCTCCATCCAAACCGACCAAGCCGAACCTCCCGCGGCCACGCAAATGGAGAGGAAGGACAGGGGAGAGAGAAGGGATCCAGGGGACCCCCCCGCAGCCACAGGGAATCGCTCCCGGGCCCTCGGCCGGCCGGGGGGGGGGGGCGTCCGTCCGGGAGAGCTGCTACCGGGCTCTCCCGCGGCCGCGCCAGGGCGCACAACTTAGAACTTAGGCGGCGGTCCGTTCCCGGCGCCCACACCCGACCGGCCTCGCCGAAATGCCAGTCCCCGCGGCCGCCAGCACCGGCCGAGGTCGCGCGCCGGGCACAGGCTGCCAGCACGCTGGGGGACCGGGAAGGCCCCCGGGCTCGGAAGGGCCGCCCAAGCCCGGCCCCCAGCCCCGGGGCCCCTCGCGGCCGAGGAAGGGAAAGGAAAGGCAGCGGGACAGAGGCCGAAGGACCCACCTGGCAGAGGCCGCGCGCCGGAGGGACAGAGCCCGGGAGTTGGGACGCTCGCGCGGGGTCGCACGGTCTGATTGGGCCCCGGGCCACCTCTGCCGCAAAGCAGCGCCCTGGTCGCTCGGGCAGGCCACAGCCCCCCCCCCAGCGCCAGCGGCTCCCACTCCCCGGAGCGGGTAGGGGATGAAGGTCCGGGGGGAGGGGTAAGAATCCGGGTTCCTCGGCGTTGGCCCCGCCCAAGGGAGTGGAGGGGCAGGCTTAGGAAGGTTCCCGGGCGCTTGGAAGGGGCGGAGAGAGGTGGGCGTGGGAAGGTAAGAGCCAAAAGCCGTTTTTTGCATTTGCTCTGGAAAATCAATTTGTCCTTCTTGTAGGGTCCGTGCCGGCAAAATGATGAATGTGCTGAAACAAAATTTACCGTTCAACGGTCCCAAAACCATTTAGAGGGAAAAGAAGTTTAAACAAATACACTTCCAAACGTTGTTACAAGTTTGCATCATTCATATGCATGAAGTTATCAAAACTTTTATTGCTTCCTCCCCAGATGAGTGTTGGGATCCGAAAAAATGCAGGCACTCCTTCCTCCCCATCGCCTCCCTCCCGCTCTTTGCCGAGGACCTGCTAGGGAGTCGGCGCTCTTGCATAACTACTGCACACTGCCTAGGTGGATAGGGATGTCCTGGGTCCGAAGGAATCACAGCGACTGGCAGGTTTCTCCTGCCTGGCCGGTATATTTATCGATTTCTTCCTAACTGTTGAAAGAGGAACATGTTGGTCTGGCAAAATAATGCTCCCATAATGGAGACGCGTGTAGATTATGAGAGGAAAAGGAACCTAACAGGTGACGCTGCCACTCGAGATGAGGGGTATTAATTAGTCCTGTATCCTCCCAGCAAGTTCTAATCTAAGGAGAGAGAGAAATGCAAATAAAAACAACTGTCTAGTGGCATCTGCGTGGCACGATGGGTTAAGCATCTGCCTTGGGCTCAGGTCTTGATGCCAGAGTTCTGAGATCAAGACCCCCTAGGGCTCCCTGCTCAGTTGGGAGCCTGCTTCTCCTCTCCTTTTTTGCTCCCCCCCCCCCTTGAGCACACGTGCTCTCTCTCTCTCAAATAACATCTTAAAATAAGAAAAACCCAACAATTGTCTTAGGAGCTCCCTAGGCCTATGGGTAACCACCAGCTATTTGGTTACTCAACAGTTGACTGAAGATATTTTTGTTAACTCTTCTTATTTCCATTGACAAATGCAGCCTTTTCTTATTATTTTTTTTAAATCTTCACAAATACAGGAATACAGACATACTTTAAGGGAGAGCTGAAGTCACCCCTGCCCACACCTGTATTGTCCCTTCAAAGATCACCTGCTGTCCTGCTACTCCCAGCCTGGCTCAGGCTCTGACTCCCAGACCCTTTTTCTCACCCATTTCCCAGTTGTTGGGGCAGAAGTGGTGGGAATTTCTAAGGCAGAAGGAAGGAAGACAATGAAGACCCTGAGGGTCTTTGTCCTGGTGGGGCAGCTGCCTTTTTGCATTTCAGGTCAACAGGAAATCTCATAAAACCCAGCTGCCTTCCACTCCCAGGGGGTGCAGGGAGGAGTTAATTCCCTGCCACTCCTTCCCACCAGGTAGAGTGGAAGGTGAAAGAGCTTCCACTTCCTCCCCCGGTGGAATTACCTGACCTACCCCTGGGCTCTGGATCTCAGCTGCAGCTCCGGATTCCTCCCTGTGTTTCTTGTCCTTCACTTTAGGGAGTGGTGGCCATTTCCTCACTCAGATGCACAAGTCAAAGCGTTTTCTTCTCTCCCCATTCCCTGGACAGACACAGATTCAGTAACTATTACCTACTCATTGTACCAGGGAACCGAGGTCTAAATGGCTTTGCCATTGTGAACCAGTGTTGCAGAGGATGTATTCACACACGGGGCTCTCATGCTGCATATCTATTGGTCCCTCCATGCTAATGGCCAAATAAGCACAAGAAAAGATGTCCAATATCATTTAGTCATTAGGGAAATAAAACTGAAAACCACACGGTGATACCACTTCCTACTTACCAAGACGGCTATATTAAAGACGAAATGGAGGGGATCCCTGGGTGGCTCAGCGATTTAGCGCCTGCCTTCAGCCCAGGGCATGATCCTGTTGACCCGGGATCAAGTCCCACATCCGGCTCCCTGCATGGAGCCTGCTCCTCCCTCTGCCTGGGTCTCTGCCTCTCTCTCTCTCTCTCTCTCTCCCTCCCTCCCTCTCTGTCTCTATGAATAAATAAAATATTTAAAAATAAATAAATAAAGATAAAAATAAACACCTTCTTGGCTTTGTTTTGCTCATGCTATAAAATGTTGTAAAACCTTGAATAAAGCTGGCACTGCTTGGACATCATCTACTGTGTCCCTCCTGTTCCCATCTCTTTACTTTTATTTTCCTCATCCCCTTATCCTCAGGACCCTGATCGTGTTGCCGCAGCCCATGCAACAATAAACAAAATATTGTAAAAACTGTAAAAAAAAAAAAAAAAGAGAGAAACGTTTATTGGAGATCCCTGGGTGGCTCAGCGGTTTAGCGCCCACCTTCGGCCCAGGGCGTGATCCTGGAGTCCAGGTATTGGGTTCCACGTAGGGCTCCCTGCATGGAGCCTGCTTCTCCCTCTTTTAAATATTTAAATAAAATATTTAAAAAAGAAACGTTTATTTACTATGTGGGAGCTTTTAGATGAAGAGGCTCCCTAAAGAATTTGAGATAAGGGTTTATATGCCAACTTCACAAGGGAGGGGTGCACTTCAAAAGATGGAAAATTCTTTTTTTTTTTAATTTATTTATGATAGTCACAGAGAGAGAGAGAGAGAGAGGCAGAGACACAGGCAGAGGGAGAAGCAGGCTCCACGCACCGGGAGCCCGACGTGGGATTCGATCCCGGGTCTCCAGGATCGCGCCCTGGGCCAAAGGCAGGCGCCAAACCGCTGCGCCACCCAGGGATCCAAGATGGAAAATTCTTATGAGGTTTGCTTATGCAATCTTTTGGAAGGTTCTAATGCTCCAGATCAGGCCTCCCTAATTAGAGAACCCCATGAATGGGGGAGGGGAGGTTGTGGCAGCTATCCCTTATAAAACTCTGCTTTAGCCAGATAAGATGAATTTATTTATTTATTCAGATAAGAGGAATTTTTTAAGACTTTATTTATGCACAAGAGACATAGAGACAGAGACAGGCAGAGAGAGAAGCAGGCTCCATGCAGGGAGCCCGATGTGGGACTTGATCCCCTGGTCTCCAGGGTCAGGCCCTAGGCTGAAGGCGGCACTAAACCGCTGAGCCACCCAGATATGAGGAATTATATAAGGCTTCTGCAACTCTTGTATCTCAGGTGTTTTCACTTTGAAGCTATCTTTATACCATTCAGGTGGGTTATCAGTCCCATCAAGAGAATGAGGAATGACTGCTACTAAGTATGGACTTTCCTTTTGGGGTGATGAAAATGTCCTAAAATTTATTATGATGATTGCTGCACAATTTTCTGTGTATTCTAAAAAACAGTGACTGGTACACTTTAATGTGGCAAATTACATGTTATGCAAATGGCATATCAATAAAAAAAATGTAAACCAGGGGATCCCTGGGTGGCTCAGCGGTTGAGCATCTGCCTTTGGCCCAGGGTGTGATCCTGGAGTTTCAGGATCCAGTCCCACATCGGGCTCGCTGCATGGAGCCTGCTTCTCCCTCTGCCTGAGTCTCTGCCTCTCTCTGTGTGTCTCTCATGAATAAATAAATAAAATCTTTTTAAAAAATGTAAACCAGCACATAAACTCAATAAGATATAGGTGAAAGATTGGTGGAAAATTTTACAGTGTGGGTGAATTAAGATAAGAATACTGCAATCCTGAACTTTATGGTCAACTAATATTCGACAAAGGAGGAAAGACTATCCACTGGAAGAAAGACAGTCTCTTCAATAAATGGTGCTGGGAAAATTGGTCATCCACATGCAGAAGAATGAAACTAGACCACTCTCTTGCACCATACACAAAGATAAACTCAAAATGGATGAAAGATTTAAATGTGAGACAAGACACCATCAAAATCCTAGAGGAGAACACAGGCAACACCCTTTTTGAACTTGGCCACAGTAACTTCTTGCAAGATACATCCACGAAGGCAAAAGAAACAAAAGCAAAAATGAACTATTGGGACTTCATCAAGATAAGAAGCTTTTGCACAGCAAAGGATACAGTCAACAAAACTCAAAGACAACCTACAGAATGGGAGAAGATATTTGCAAATAACATATCAGATAAAGGGCTAGTTTCCAAAATCTATAAAGAACTTATTAAACTCAACACCAAAGAAACAAACAATCCAATCATGAAATGGGCAAAAGACATGAAGAGAAATCTCACAGAGGAAGACATAGACATGGCCAACATGCACATGAGAAAATGCTCTGCATCACTTGCCATCAGGGAAATACAAATCAAAACCACAATGAGATACCACCTCACACCAGTGAGAATGGGGAAAATTAACAAGGCAGGAAACAACAAATGTTGGAGAGGATGCGGAGAAAAGGGAACCCTCTTACACTGTTGGTGGGAATGTGAACTGGTGCAGCCACTCTGGAAAACTGTGTGGAGGTTCCTCAAAGAATTAAAAATAGACCTGCCCTACGACCCAGCAATTGCACTGTTAGGGATTTACCCCGAAGATTCAGATGCAATGAAACGCCGGGGCACCTGCACCCCGATGTTTCTAGCAGCCATGTCCACAATAGCCAAACTGTGGAAGGAGCCTCGGTGCCCATCGAAAGATGAATGGATAAAGAAGATGTGGTTTATGTATACAATGGAATATTACTCAGCCATTAGAAACAACAAATACCCACCATTTGCTTCAACGTGGATGGAACTGGAGGGTATTATGCTGAGTGAAGTAAGTCAATCGGAGAAGGACAAACAGTGTATGTTCTCACTTATTTGGGGAATATGAATAATAGTGAAGGGGAATATAAGGGAAGGGAGAAGAAATGTGTGGGAGATATCAGAAAGGGACACAGAACATAAAGACTTCTAACTCTGGGAAATGAACTAGGGGTGGTGGAAGGGGAGGAGGGCGGGGGGTGGGGGTGAATGGGTGACGGGCACGGAGGGGGACACTTGACGGGATGAGCACTGGGTGTTATTCTGTATGTTGGTAAATTGAACACCAATAAAAATTAATTTATAAAAAA